ATTGGGTTTGTTTCAAAAAGCACATCACTTCCCTTGGAAAATGATCTGCAAAAAATATTTTGTACTTTTATGCTTTAGGTAAAAGATAGTAGAACACCTTAGAACCTGACTTAAATACTACTATATCAAATACATATACTTATCTTACACAATATTTGCATACACATATATGTATGTGTGTGTGTTTGTGTGTGTGTGTCTAGAAGTATTTTCATAGACTCCACAACATTTTTACAATGAGAAAGCTTTGAGGAGTGGCAAGATTTCAAATAATTTCATTTTTTATGAAAATGTGCTGAATATAATTTAGTGGCTAGCAATCTCATATATACTTTTATTTGCTGCACAGAATGATTTTAATAGCTATGATTTTAACAGATACTTTACTATTAATAGTAGTCATATTATTCAGAGAACTCTATTTGTTATAATCAAGATAATGAAAAGCAAAAATTAACATTGTTGATTATCTGAATATTTTAGTAAAATTTGGTAAATAGGCTATTTCTTAAAAGTGATTTCTCTTCTGTTAAACATATGTACTTTATTTAGGTTTTGAGGCTTAGGGATTTAAGAAAACTGGTATTTTTCTATTCCCTCTCTCTTGCTCTTTCACCCCTTACTCCACTCCCTCTCTACAATAATGGATGAGAGATAAGGTGAAAACTCTTTGCTCCTATAAAGTTTATTTAGAAAATAGTTTGCGGTAACTTACTAAGTAAATATTTTGGATGACCATAATATTTACATTATAAGTTATATACCATTCAAGATATTTATTAAAAAACAAAATCCAACAAGGTCTACTATGATGGCATATATAATAATTGTTAGCTATAGGATAATCTAGGTAGGGCTATTTATTCCTTATTAATTCATATCTGTTAGTACACTAAAGTATAACTAAAGAACAATAAATATTACTGATGACCCACATATAAACATCTCTGTGTCAGAAAATTATCTCAAATGTTGAACTGTTGCTTGTCATATCTAGATGGCCATCTTTCTTTGATGTCTTTTTATAACCTAAATCTCACATTTCGGGGTCCTTGTGTGATGTAAAGTTATTTACCAAAAAATGGAAAACCAACTAAAATAATAGAATTTAGTCACTGCTTTATAATAATTATAAATAATAATAAATAATAATAATAATAAAGCAGTTAGTAATGGTAAGATTAGCAGCAGCAGTAACACTACTAGCAGTAATAGTAAAATACTATTGCTACTACTTGGTGTGTACTTTTATTAGTACTAGTAATAGAGGGATCATAGTAGAGGGTTTTACTGTTCACATGCATTTTACAATTCTTCACAGCAATTTTGTGAGCAAGTAGGGTTGTTTTACTTCCAAAGTAAACTATAATATAATGGCTATATTATAGTTCTTCTTCTTCTTCTTCCAAAGATCACCGATTACCATTAAATAAATTTAATGTCAACTTATTTAATGCAAAAAATAGACTTTGTCTCATGATGCGTTTCAGGATCTACTCTTATGATGAATTAAATTAGAATTCAATTTAATTAAAACAACGTTGGAGGATTTCTTAGGTCTTTCTTGGATACAAATAATTTTCTTTTAAATCATTTTTTAAAAACTGACCAGTACAGAAGTGGTAGCCTCAGAGTATGTATACAATAAGACTCATCCACCTAGGGATTCCCAGCATGAGGTGACTTGTTATAGGAAACACTGAAGTAAAATTTTAACAGGGTGGTCCCAAGGAAAGGGCAGTTTCCAAGGGAGGGTGGAGCTGAGTAGGGAGAAGAAGCATTTTGGATGATCATAATATTTACATTATAAGTTATATACCATTTAAGATATTCATTAAAAAACAAAATCCAACAAGGTCTACTATGATGGCATATATAATAATTGTTAGCTATAGGATAATCTAGGTAGGGCTATTTATTCCTTATTAATTCATATCTGGAGAAGAGACTGGAGAGACTGGAAAGGAAGGAAGCAGGATGGAGAGCCAGAAGGAGACCTGGAGGAGGCACCTGGAGCAGAGGGAAACGTGAAGATACTGCGCTTGCCTTTTGGTTGTGGACTGAGTGACACAGATGTGGGTGAAAGACCCATGGGGAGGACAACGACAACTTTTATCTTAATTTTGTTTTGCTCTTTTCCCTCCAGACTTGTTTGGTTGTTTCTGATCCTTTTCTGTGGGTCCCCACTGGAAGATGCTTTGGACTTGTGGCAGGCTTTGGGGCCTTGCTCTGGGCCAATCCTGCTTGGGTGGACTTTTACCCATGAGGGGATGGGTGATTTTGGGTGCTTGATTTAGAAGCTATATTCTTTGCCTTTCCTGTATTGTTTACTAATTGTATTGAAGTTCCTTTTAATTAAAGTCTCATATGATTTGTGTTGATGAGGCAGATGGCAGAACCTATTTAGAGCAGGCAGGTTTGTGGGGTCTGGGGTGGCCCTCTCCCTGCCCTGTAACAAAATTCTTCCCAGTTTCTCTGCATCTGGAGGGAGCCCATGTGATGACAGAGGCAGAGATTGGAGAGATGCAGCTGCGTGCCAAGCAAAGTCAAGGAATGCCGGGAGCCACCAGAAGAGGCAAGGAAGGATTCTTTCCTGGAAATCATGTCCCCTCCAACACCTTGATTTTGGACTTCAGTCTTCAGAATTATGGGAGGATATTTAATCCACTCAATCTGTGGCATTTTGTTACCCTGTCCTAGGAAACAAACGTAATTGGAAAGATACTGGGTAGCTCAAAGAGTTGAGGACAGAACTAAAGAATCATGCCTTGACATGAAGGAAACTACCATCTCTGAGGATCCCAGCAGCTGAGCTTGTGCATGAGCTCTCCCTCAGGCAATCTGCTTCCAGTGGCCGTTTAACCTTGTGTACCTTGCTCAAGAGTCTAACTCTCTGGAGAAAGCCTCTGACCCAGCTTATCATGTGTCTTTCCCAGCTGCCCGCAACCCGGGGACCAGAGAGCAGGCAACTTCCCAAAGGAAAACACCCCAGGCAGACAAAAACAAAGGGTGACCACTACACACAATCCATAGCAAAGTCCTTTTTGGGAGAAGTCCTGTTGAATTCTACTCCTGTACTCCGTGAGGGAGTGGGTGGTGACAGTTGTTGAGAAAGATTATCCTGGCACCTATATGCAGAATGGTTTGGAGTAAGACCAGCCAGACAGCTGATGACATCATCTGAATGTGAAGTTAAGGGAGCATGGGTGGCTGTGTGAAGGAAAGAACACTCTAGTTTTGTACTCACTCAGTGATATTTTAATATAGACTCATTGAAGGTTGTGGTAGCAAGACCAAGACAATGCCTTTATTTTCTGACTCCAGCTATCCGCCTAATTTTTTACTTCTTTTGGGCATCATATGATTCAGAAAGCATTTTTTTTTTTTTTTTGGCTATTTGTCTACCCAGTTTTATGAGACATCAAGACTTAATTTTCACTGTTCCAGGAGCTGGGAGCAGGTCATTTTTCCTTTACATGAGACCCCTCAGAGAACCCAGGCCCACAATGCCTGAGTACAAATGCGTCATGTGTGCCCAAGACCAGGAAAAGAAATAGGAAGATTCACAGGCCAAGAGGAGCATTTCTGATTTTCACTGTTAGGGGCCTGAGTATCCTGCTGGTGGTGGGGAGGGCGATGGAACTGTCTGGACAGAGAGGGGACAGCTCCTTGCTCAGTGGGTCCAGCAGGTGTATCTCAGGGGCAGGAACCAGCTACTTGTCCTGTCACCTTAGGTGGCCCCTAACATCCCAACATCTGGCTTTTGTGTCCCATCTGTGTGTGGGAGCAGTTAAGAGCAGTGCTTGACATGTGTGGCTAGTGATTCAGGGACCTGGCTGAAGGAAAAAAGTTGCTAATAACAGCAGTTACACTCTGCTTGTGTAAAAATTACTTGGAGGGGGATGGGAGGGAGTATCTTCGTACCATATAATTTTTTATACTTTTGAACTACATGACTATATTATTAAAATTTTTTAAATAAACTTCATTATTTAAAATGCTTATTGAGCCCAGAGAACTAATTTCTCATATGTGACTTCCAGTGTGTCTTACTTATGTTCAAATGTGTCTTTTTAAAGTATTTTATTGCTATCCATGCTATTGAGATTTTAGTGCCTCAACTCACACCCACTATTTTTATTCAGACCCTTCTCTTTTTGTTGTAAAATAAATGTGCATTAGTCATCCATAATCCCAATAGATCCAATTAAAAAAAATACAGATTGTATTTACCAGTATTAAAATGATACAAATGATGAAATGAAATTTTCCCATTCATTTTAGATCACACAGTTAAGAATTTTATTTTCAAAAAGCCAAAACATTTTTTTATTACTTTCAACTTACTTCATCCCGGCCACTCCCACCAAGTTCCCCCGGTCTTCAGCTCATGTGTTTTGCATTATTTTTGTTCCACCCATGATCCTTCCACTCCCGCTTCCTTTCTCTTTGTGCTTCTGTCCCACTTCCCTCACTGGTCACCAACCTTCTCACTGGTCAGCTCAACCTCACCTCCTTCACCACTTCAGGAGTCACAGCAGCTGGTGGCTTGGTGAACCTAGTCATGTGAATTCTGGAAGGTAGAGTGTCAGCTTCTTCCCTGACAAATAAGGCCTAATTCCTATACTGATTTCTCCTCTGAAGGCCTCTAAAACTCAAATAAATGGAATTTGATGGATCTTGCTTGTTTTGAAACACAACAGAGGGTGATTACAATGTAGAATTCTTTTGCTTTGCGTTACCCACTTCAATATATGGGAAAGTGAACAACAAATTGTTTTTGAAACTGATACTTTCTTAAGCAAGTAGAATAAAATAAAGGGTTTGGTGATAACACATTGAAAATGTTTTTGCATTTCCTCTTTGAATTCTACATGAGGAGAATCCCACTCCTTTTCTGTCAAATGCACATACATGGACCCATACCAAACTTTGGTAAAAACAAACCAAACGATTCCAAACTTTCTAGAACTCTTGTGGTATTATAACACTATGGCCACTGAATCAAACAAATCACTGGGGAAAGTAATCATATTTGTCTACTGAGATGTGTCCTTCATTCCGACTATAACCCATATTACAAATTCTGTTAAGTTGGATGGTCACAGAAAGGAAAAATTTGTTTTAACAGCAATATTTACATCATATTTTCAGAAACAAATCAGCACTGACATTCCTTAATGTGGCTACTGCAGTGTTTGGTGGCCTCTAGGCTGGATAGTCTAAGTAAATAATGATTCATTCATTCCTCTTCTTGATGTAATCAGATTTGAATAATGTTTCTAAATTTTGTCATTTTGTTCACAACAGTATAGGAGTATCAGTTTGGGGTGCAGTTAGGATTAAAAAGCCATCTTTTCACTTGTTAAAACCTGAAAATAAGAAAATAGAAAATAAGAAAATAGAATAAAGAAAGTGTGCAAATTTCTCAATTTTTGTGAGGACAATAGTTGAAGACTTGTAAATTTTTTACAGCTATGAATAAAAACATTTAGGTACTTATTTTCCTTTAGCATCCATGTCCTCATTTATAAAATAAGAAGCTAGATAAGATTGTGCTTTTTTAGCTCAGGTTCAAAATGTTTGGCAGGAACACAAGTATACGATTTAGTGTGCTATGGATGTAATAAGGTTAATGTTTAACACTTGTATATAAAGCAAATCTATGAGAACCGAACTACTTTGAAAAATACAAATGTTTGAAATTGTAGGTAAAGGATGACAGTTAAAGACACAGAATGTAATTTATATCTGGCATTTTGTTTTAATTGCATAGTATGGAGAAAATTCTGACACACGAATTAGTTCTAAGTGGTAAAGTGGCAAGAGGTTATTTTGCTTTTTTTTTTTTTTGGCTTTTAAATTTGTCTTGCAATCTGAAGATGGCTTCATTTGCAAAGTCTGTACAAATTCTCTTTTTTTTAAACATTTATTTATTTATGCATACAAGAGATGGGGTACAGGCCAGAGATGCAGGGGTTGAGAGGATTCACCAGAGACAGAGTGGGGAACAGAACAAGCGGATCCATGGAAATACACTGCTGAGGGGAGCAGCGGGCAAGACAGGAGAGGTCTGCTTCGCCATGTGGGTTGCTCCCTGGCTGGCCAGGGATCGAACTCGTGCTGCAGAGGCTGTGGACTGCCCCAGAGTGGGGTGCTTAACCCGTTGCACCACTAGGGAGGCCCCTGTACAAAATCTTGACAACCCAATTCATTCTTTGGTGGTCTCCAAAGTGTTTTTAAAATTTTAGTATTAACAAATCTGAGTGTGTGTGTCCCTCTGTATGTGTAGTTACACTTTATTGAGTACTAGTGTCAGGCACAATGCTGTGCACTTTGTGTCTTGCTGGATATAAGCATCAGAGTGAATTTGCAACTGTAGCCACATGTAATGTTGGGGGGTGGGAAGGGAGAAGGAGGAGAAAGAAAAAGGGGTAGAAGGGGGACGGGGAGTGAGGAGAGAATAATCAAATAGGTATTCTGCTTTTCATACCTGGGTGTATGTTTTCAGGTTAGTATTTTCTGATAATTTCAGATATGATTTAAAATGTTGACATATTGGTTTTTGTTGTTCTTGTGAAAGGAGAAACAAAAACTTTAATCAATTATTTAGTGTGATTTAGCCAAAGTCTCAATGCAAATTTTTCTTATCTAACAAAACACAATGGAATTAAATATACATATGTTAATGCTGGCTGGTTGTTTCGGACATTTAATTGGAAAGTTAGATTGGTGACCAAACTTTGCCTTCTCATATCTCTTCTACATTCAGTTTTTCTGTTGTTGGCCATTAATGTGCAGAAAAGCAAAAGCTTAATTTTCTAACACTGAAAATGTTTCTTTTTGTCAGCATTTATATAGTTTAGGTGGCCACTCTCCAAAGCCTTCAGTGCTCTACATGTTGTGTTAAGTAGCATTACCAAGTTGCAGTAGTTGAACTCAGTGGAAAACGCTTGCAAACAGCGCTTGTTAACTACTAATGCAGTAATCAATAGATTTCAATTTGGTGTTTTGCATTGAATTTGTGATTGTCAAAAGGATCAGGGAGTAGGATCTTCAGAACATCTTAATCTGTAGCATTCTCATATTTTATTTGAAAATAAACAGAGAAGCTGCTATGTGGCAGCACCAAAGTCGTTTATGTTTAGTGAAAAAAGGTTAAAATGATGCATAAAATTTAAAAATGAAACTTAATATACATCTAAATTTCCACTGAATACAATCTGAAAGAACACTGGATAGCTAATCCTTTTTTTTTTTTTTTTTTTAGTATTTACCTTTTAGCTCCTTGAACTTACCTGTTAGGGAATGAGAGCATGTTAAGCTATAGGGATAGACCAAGGTTTAAATGTCTTAGGGTCATCTCTTGGGATCTAAGAAAGAATGCAAATAAAATACTTAATATCATAATACCATTGCAATATGTCACCAGGAAAATTATGTTAAATATGTAGTTTTGAAAACTTTTCTGATGGGAGGAAGCAGAATTTTCCTGGGGAATTGGATTGTACCTTTCAAACGACAACTGAAAAGTTGGTAGGTGTTGTGATTGTGCTACATTTACTATTGCTAAGAGGGCACTTTGATTAGTTACCTTTTTGCATCCCAGATGTGAATCCCCAAAAACCATGTATCCTATGCCAACGCTTGGGGGAGGAGGATAGAGAAGGGAAAGTGATCAGTTGAGAGTTGTGTTTGGGCTAGAGTCTACATACCTACTCTGTAGGTGACCTGAGAAGAGCTAATCGTTAGCCAAATAGTGCCTATGGTACAGTGCCATTGTTAGGGGGAGAGGATGTCCTGAGCTAATTCCATGCAGGCTTTGTGGGGACTCCACCCCCACTCCAGACCAAAGCCATCAAGACACTGGGAAAGACAAATCCCATCACCACCAAAGGGAAGGTGGCTGGGACCTGAGGGTGGAGTTAAGCAGATAGGTTTGGTATAAAAACCAGACACGTGGGTCTTGGGGGGCTCACTCTCTCGCTGGCCTCCTGGCTTCACGGCTCTGCCCTATAACACCCTTGCTAGTTAAAACCCCAGGCTTAAGTCACTCTCTTGGGCTACAGAAAGTACTTGTTTGTCCTTCTTGTGGTCCTCAGTGTCTCATTTCTCTGCTGGGAATTCCCCCCTCTTTGATTTGACTGAAAAGCAGAACATGCACTTCTCTGTTCTTGTCATGTTTTTGTTTTAAAGGTAGACTTTCAGTAACAAGGTGTTAAAAATAAAAACAACTTTCTGCAAATAATGAAAAGTTGTGAAAGTATCAAAAAGCTTTGCCCCTAATACTTATTTCTGAAAAATAAAAAAGAAGACAAAAAGACAAAAACAAAAAACAACCCATATCTTAAATAGGCAGGTTATCTTTACAAATTCTATTCTTACTGTTTACTTTTAATCTGTATTGAAATGTAAGTGGAGGCCTAGTTTACTTTTCTCACAGGGATTTCCTTTATTCTCTTAACAACTTCTGTGGGGATTGCTTGGTTATCTTATTTAGAATCAGCCTGTTCTACCCAGGCTGGGTTGGATACGGGCCAAAGCTCCTCAGTCCAGTTTTAGGTAGATTCCAGTTAGTTTTTCTACTAAAGGTGATGGCATTTTTTAGTTTCTTCCAAAACCTGTTTTCCTATTAGTTTCGTCAGACCAGGGCTCCAGAAAAGCCCTTCTGCTTTGGGGCTTAACGCCACACTCATTCTCTTGCTACCTTGGCCTTCTTGGTTCTCTATTATTCCTAACTCCTTGAGTGAGGATATAACTTTCTTTTTTGACCTCAAAGGCCCAGCCTTAGCACTTAAGCTGCCTTCATTGGCCTTTTGTGATTTCCTTCTCTTTATCTTCTCACTTGCATGGTGCCATCACCCCCTTCCTCCTCCTGCATTCTCTCTGCTTGGTTTCTGATATTTTTAATTAAGGAAATATATTCACCATGAGTCAAGACTGATTCTGCTTTTAATTAGATTTCAGCTTCTGAGCTCTATCTGGGCCCCATCTCACTGGTCTCAAGGTCAATAGTGGTTGCTCTCAGTCCAGGATTCTTCATTGTGCAGCAAAAGATAAACTCAGTAGGCCTGCTCTGTCCAAACCCTGCACATTTCAGAGAAAGGCTTAGCCCTTGACCAGATCCTGGGAGATAATACCTCAACCTTTGAAATATTTTGCCTAGTAAGTGTATCTTTGTTACTTGAGACTGAGGGCCATGTGGTATCATTTGACCTCTAGAAGGACTGGACACTGAGTAACTAAGTGACTCAAGTCAGCTGTGCAGGTTTTCTATGCCTGTGTGATAAATCTCTAGTAAGAATTCTGGCACCAAAGCTCAGGTGAGCTGCCCTGGTTGGCAAAACTTTGTGCATCTTCTCATACATTGTTGTTGGGAGAATTAAGTGCTGTCTGTATTATCCTATGGGAGAAAGGCATCTGGAAGCTTTCATCTGTGCACTCTGTTCTGCTTTTTCCTTTGTTGATGTTAATTTGTATCCTTTCACTAAAATAAACCATAACTATGAGTTTAACAGATTTTTTTTTTAAATTCTGAGAGTTCATTGAGTATATCATCGAAACTGAAGGTGTTCTGGTGAGTCATTCATCTTCATCATCACCACCATTACCATTATCACTGCCATCATCACCATCATCCGCAATGTATGTTGACTATCTATTATGTGTGACAACTGCTAAATATTTTTCACATATTATCCAATCCTTATAATAACACTTTAAATTAAGTACAATTATTATCTCCATGTACCTTTCATCCTACTTTATATATATGGAAAATGAGTGATTAGAGAAGTAAAAGAAATCATCAAAGGTGGAGCTGAGATTCCAACCCAGGTCCGTCTGACTCCAGGACCTATGTCTTAACCACTAAGCTAAAACAGTGCATCACCAATCTTTTCCCTGACCAGAGAAGATGGCTGCCCATTTCCTGTTTTACATTCGGCATCATTCTCCCCACCACCACCTTCTTACTTAATCTGAGTGATGCCTCCAGTTTTGCCCTCTTTTTTTTTTTAGGTGCCCTCCCTTCCTCTTTTTCTCACAACCAAAGAAGTACTCTTCCAGAGACCAGGAAGGAGAGCTTTTAGATAGAAAAATATGTGGTAACAGTATTAGACAATTCCCCATTCAGTGTTCTGAAAGGTCACTGTGTGAATTATCAGTCACCAAGTATTTCAGGGAACAAGATGCAGCCCCTGCATCCTGGGAAGAACATAGTCAATGGGGAACCAGTTTCACAGCCTGTTAGAATGCCAATAAAATTTCTCCCAAGAAAGTGTGAGGGGTAGTGAGGAGAAGAATGAAATGAAGAATGAGTGCATGCCTGTCTGAGTGTGTGCATGCACCTGTGCATAGGTGCATGTGAGCCAGCGTGTGTGCATGTGTGAATGTGTGCACACATGAGGACAGGATGACGGCTCAGCATTCTGAGGAAGATGCTGGGTCGGGTGGGGGGACGGAGTCTCGGTGCTGAGTCATCTCCTGAGCCATGCTGTGATGTCTGTGCTCCATCTCACAGACCCATGTGTCTGAGTGTTTGTGCTGCTTTCAGGCCCTGCCAATTGTCTGTGGCTTAGCTTCCAACAGAACAGACTGGAGACAACATGTTTCCACTTGTTGGAAACAACACTGGAAATAGAATGCAGACTTGTGGGATATGGAGCACACCTCCTCCCACTCAGAGAAATGCAAGGCTGTGCATAGGTTATGGGTTGAGGACTAGTATTTGGGGGGTGACTGAGCTGAGAGTGCTGTAGGTAAACCAGGTTGGCAGCACACAGGAAATATGTTCTGCTCCTTCATCTGGCAGGAAGGTCTCCCTTTACCAAACCAACTAGGTGGCACTTTTAAGGCTCTGGGCATCTAAAATGCAAAGGAAGAAGGAGGGGACAATCTTCTCCACATGGATAGAGACAGTAGCAGAGTTACAGAAGGATGAGAGTAGGAGGAAGGATGTTGTATCAGGATAAGGGTCTCCAGACACTACCCAACCTTACAGAATAAGAGGGCAAGACAGGCCTTGCCATTTGGAATTGGGGTAGAGTGAAAGAACTTTTCCCCATTAAGTTACGTAAGTCAGACCCCAATGTAACACATGGCATAGCAATTGACTGTGTTTGCAAAAATTTCTTACGAGTCAGCATCATAAATCTCCCCCTTCAAAATGCGGGCTGAGCTGAATGGTGTTTACAAATGTATTTCTAAGCTGAGTTGTCTGATTTTAGCTACTGGGAGATGGAAACCGAATCTTCTACTTGGCTTTACATGGCTTTAACTATGGCGACCCACACAAGCCATGCTTTCATAGTTACTTTAATAACTTTTTCTGTTAGTGAGAATAAGGCAAAAGGTTTTTATGTCTGTCTTGTCAAATTTTCCAAGGTAATATTTTTCTATTCTTTAAGGATGTGGTGTCCCAAATGTCTCTAGTTCCTAAATATTTTTTTAAAAAACACAATCACTATTTCTGAAGAAAAATCCTTGTTTGAAAGTGTTAATTAGGTATTTCCTATGCAGTTTTAGGGGAAATTGACTTTTTTTCCCTAATGGAATTTTAAATGACCATACAAAACACATAATCCAAGAAACACATTTTTCTTTCTCCCACCACCAAAAGGGAAGTTCTGTCTCTATATGAGCAGTTTTTCTGGCCCTGTCTGACTGTCAGGCTGCTCTTCCGGCTCTGAGGAGAAACCACCTCCAGCAACCTGAGAAGGGATGCATATGAAAGCAAGAATCACAAACTGCTGATGGAGGTAACCAAAGCCATAGGTATCAAAATCTTTTGATACAGTAAAGGCTTGTTTAAATAGAACTTCTTGCAACAAGCTCTAGCCTTCTTACTGCTTCTTTATGGAAGCTTGAAGCTAATTTTCCATGAAAATGAGACTGCTAGTCTTAAGAGTTGTTTTTTCTGCCCAGAGCAGGTCAACTTGATTTAATATGGGAACTCTTTTTAAGGCCTTTGGGAGAGGCATATTTTGAGGAACGTTGTTAATAGTTAGGTGTTTTGGTGGAGACCTTAACTCTAATATTTACAGAATGACTTGTATTTACATAGTAATTATAAATGCATTATTTTATTAAACTCCAAAAAAAAGTTCTGAGTGGTTGACCATCATTACTATTTAAAAAAAAAGCTACAAGTAGGCTTTATTTACTTTATAGTTAGAAAGAAGTTAATTAAAGAGGAGGTTTTGGACTTTCCACTGTTTATTTTCTAGCACCTGACTTTTTTTCCTGTCAGAACAAATTTTGTATTGCTGACATTATTCAAAAGCCAAATACAGTGCTGGTATTTGTATTTCTCAAAAAACAAAAAAAATTTTTTTTTTGCATAACACAGTATTCTATGCCACTGTAAATCACT